GATTCCTTGATGTAAAATATTGGTGCAATGGCCAGCCACTATCTCTTGCCATTGCAATTATAACATTGTCAATGTCTGTTTAATACAAAATAATGGTTAAATGTATAAATAGAAGCTATTAGGTGGGCATCCTTACATATTGGTGTTTAATTGCTTGTACGCTAGTGGAGGACCTGGTCCATCTATATCCCTGGGCTGTATTCAGTGATAGGATTCAGCCAGTTCGCACCAGTTTGGTAGAACCGGTAGTTAAATTTTGTTGAGTTCAGAGAACTGGCTGAATGCACCCCTGGAGGAGGCCTCCCAGGCCTAGAACGGCCTGCCAGAAGTGAGAGGATGCTACTTCTGGAAGTCCGTTCTAGGCCTCGGAGGCCTGGAGGAGCCTCCCAGGCCTAGAATGGCCCACCGGAAGTGCAGGAATGCCACTTCCAGAAGTCCATTCTAGGCCTCGGAGGCCCAGGCCTGCATCCACGCAGAGAATCAGTTGTTCAGGGATTTGAATCCCACCACTGGCTGTATTCTGATCTTTGCAGCTCTACTTAACCATACTTTAAACAGCACCATTATGCTTTTTCAAATATGATATCACCACAAGTTCAGTTCTGTACCAAGGTAAGAACATAAGTGAGAGTCCTTTGGTGACACTAAGGGACCAGATTAGAAACTGGGAGACTAGTTCTAGTTGCGCCTTAGGTATGAAGCCAGCTGGATGATCTTGGGACAGCCTGTCTCTCTCTCTCTCTCTCAGCCCTAGGAAGAAGGCTATTGCAAACTGCTTCCAAAATCTTGTCATGAAAACCACAGGGACCTGACCTGCCCATCACCAGGAGTCAAGACTGACTCAAAGGGATAAAAAAGAAAAAAGAAAAAAAGAGAAGGAGAGGGATTTTGCTACCATGGTATAGGAACAGGAGGCAAGTTAGCTGCTGTGTTTGAACTCTGATGGGGGGGGGGGTTGTACTATAATTTATTAGTGTACAAGCATGGTTGCTAGGATGCTACATACTACATTCAGTGCTAAATAGTGTTTACTAGTAGAATGCATGTGCAAGCTTTTGTCCTCTAGAAAATAAATCTGTCAGGATTAGAGCGCCATGCCTGTAAAGGCAATCACTTTCCTCATGGCCCTCTCCCCATCTATTGTATCTTTTGGAAATTCACCAGCAATATGCTCCAAAGGTTGATGTGGTGGGTTTTGTGCATTTAGAGACTTGGTTTCCATGGTTGCGAGCTGCACATGCTTGAAAGCAGCAATTCAGAGAAGGGGATGGGCAAAGAGGGAGTAAGAGAAGGCAGTCATTAAAATGTGTCAATTAGTATGCAGCAACTCTCTCCTCGCTGCCTTTCTTATGCACTCCACAAAAGCAGGGAGTGTTTATTGTCGCCATGGCCCTAAAGTGAGCATGAATGAAATAGTAAGCAAGGGAAGGAGATTTATGTTATAAACAGGTAGCCCTTTTTGCAACATGAGTGTGCCTTACAACAGGCTGAAAGATGCATGTTTAAGAAGGGTAGGAGTCACACTGATTAGCAGGTGGAAGGGAGGAACAGTGGCAATGAATGCAGTGCTATGATCCTGTCTACTCTTGCCATTGCCAACCAAAGCTCCCATCATTGGCCCTTGTTTGTCTGTATGAGAGAGAGAGAGAGAGAGAGAGAGAGAGAGAGAGAGAGAGAGAGAGAGAAGAGTAGGGAAATGAACAGCTCAGTACCTGTCAGATTCCCAGTCATCCAGGTCATGATTGTCTCAAAGGTACTTTTTTCCAGAAGGCAGCAAGACTTTCTCGGTTTTTTTCTTTGAAAACATTTTGCTTCTCATCCAAGAAGCTTCTTCAATTCAGTCCAGTTACGTTTTGGAAAAAAACAGCCAACTGAGAGAGGCAGATAACTGTTATGTCAGCATCTCCCCTAGGTTTCTTTCTACCTTCAATTCCATTGGAAACCCTTGATGGGAGTCGGCCTAACAGAATCTATACTGTGCATATAGTTAGCCTCAATCTTTGTGAAATGTCACAATATCCAGACATGAGATCAAAGCCAGCTAGATGAAAGCATAAGAATCGTTCAAGTGTTATATTTTGTAATTAGGTTTTAGACCTGGAGGAGACTTAATTTTTGTTTCACCATAAAACTAGAAAGTTGATCTTCAGCAAGTCATTTCACAGGAATGAAAGGTACAGAAATAAAAATAATTCTGATATTATGATGGCTAGGTTGGTTAATTAAATCAACTTAGAAAAATTAATTTTGCAAAGCACCAGTGGGCAGGACAAGAAACAATGGGTGTAAACTAATCAAGGAGAGAAGCAACCTGGAATTAAGGAGAAAATTCCTAACAGCGAGGACAATTAACTAGTGGAACAGCTTGCCTTCAGAGGTTGTGGGTGCTCCATCACTGGAGATTTTTAAGAAGAGACTGGACAGTCACTTGTCTGAAATTGTATAGGATCTGCTGCTTGAGACAGGGGCTGGACTAGAAGACCTCCAAGGTCCTTCCCAGCTCTATTCTGATTCTCATTCTAAACATTAAGTATTCTTAATATATTTTTTTCTCCCCATCCCTCCCCTTGTTAGGTGTGTTTAATCTTAACAGTCATGTGATGTCCTTATATTTCTGTTATTGTGCTAATTATCTAATATAACAGGCTAATAAGAAGAAGGAATATTGCTTCACTGACTTGTAGGCTTTTACATTTCTTAAGGCTGGGGAAAAAACATAAATCCTAGAGAAATCTCAATTAAAGAAAAAAAATAGGTTTTACAGTGCCCATTTTCATTAATTTTTTAAAGAGTGTGCCATAAAACCCATTGAAAGGGGTTTGCAGCTATAGATGCAACATGGTGAATAGATTTTAAAGCCACTGAATATTTAATGAACCCCAAGCCTCTAACAACTAATAATGTTCTAATGACACTTGCCCTATGCTCCTTGTGTGCAACCACATATTTCTATGAGTTTTTTTTTAAAAAAGCTTTCTAATAAAGTGAATGAAACCACCAAGCAAATGAAAAAGCTGTTTGCATCCCAGCTCTTCTTAGAGCAAAGGTCAGAAATGAAATCTGTGTTTATGTCTGGTATGCATGCTGACAGTACATTATTAATGCTCTCCTTTTCATATGTAGCCATAGATCATATTGATTCGGTTAAGAGAATTTTTTACACATCCTGGCTCTGACAGCCCATAATAAGCAGCTTGTAATGTGCTCTAGAAGCAAAACAAATCTCTAGAGGAACAGAGAACACCAGGAGTGCTTCACACATAGATCCCAGATGTGTAAAGTAAAGGCTGAGCCCTTTCAAAGGTATTACAAATACAGTAGCAGCGAATGATGGAAGCCCATTTATAAGATGTTGGATGCTGAGCACTGAGACCCAGTAACAGCTTTGGTTATGGTATATGTATGCATGTGATGCTGCTTAGTTCAGGAAATCCAGACTTATGGAATCACCAACAAATGGCTTTCTAGCTTCTTGAAAAGTTTATCAACCCTTTGTCTATTATTTGTTTATTTATTTGTTTATGATGCCTTTGAGTCTGTGTTGACACTTGGTGATTATCTGGGCAAGTCCCTGCATTTTTCATAGCAATTGTTGGGAAGTGGAAGTACTTGGAAGTGGTTTGCCATTGCTTGCTTCTTATGGCCGAGAGAGAATGACTGGCCCAAGGTCACCCACCTGGCTTTATGCCCAAGGCAGGACTAGAAGTCACAGTCTCCTGGTTTCTAGTCTGATGCCTTCATTGCTACACTAAATTGACTCTGTTAGAATATAGGATTATGTAATTGTTATAATCCAGCACAACTGAAGCAAGCCATAAATAAAATATGTGTTTGTCTACTGCCTAAAATATCCACTTATTCATTAATGAATCATTAATGAGTCTAGCTCTCTCTCTCTCTCTCTCTCTCTCTCTCTCTCTCTCTCTCTC